GTCTCGGGCTTCGGGGACAACTCTTTGTACGAAGCGTTTGGCGAAGACTCACATCGCCGAGAATCGTCGTTGGTGCCGAAGATGAGCCGAACGGGATCTAGGCCTGAAGCTTGGACGCTTGTCCCCTTCTCGTAGGATAGGAACCGTTCGCAAACCCCTCAGAGATTCGCCAAAGCGCCTGCAAGGTCCCAAGCTCCGAAGCCCCGATGAGCCTCGACGCATTCAACCTCTGCCTGCCAATGCAGCGTAGTGGCCGGACTCCTTTCTCACGAAATGGCAGGGGCTCACGAACTCCAGTGCAGCGGTCGAAATGCGGACGCGAGGCCTGGGTGCCAGGGCGCCGTCAAGCCCGTGACATCCGACTTGGGATAAGGGTTGCGGATCCGGGCCTCGTCTGGCAGATGTTGTCAGGATCGACGACTCCACGTGGCGGCTTCGAGGCCCTGGGCTGGGCTCTCCGCTCTACTCAGCTCTAGGAGCTTCGAGGAGGTCTCCGCCTTCTACTGCAATGGCCAGCAAATACGAAGCGGGCCCTTAAGTACCCCTGCTTTAGCAGCAGCGCTTGGAGCCTTCGGAGGCGCTTTGTCAAATCTCTTGGCCTTCCAAAAAGCCTCGCAACCGCCGCGGAGAAAAAAAGAAATCCCCCTTGCCGCTGCATCGAGGCGCCGGTCGTCCAGTGTGCAGATGCCGCGCGGTGAGATCCCGAGCGTCTGGCCGCTTCCAGAGTCGTCAGAATTTGAATCTGATTTGGCACGACAAAGCCTGGAACTACGGGGTCCTCAGTATACTCATAATGCTTATGATACTATGATTACTATAATTATAATATTATATCTTTGGGAGTTTTTGTTTGGTGAGATGCGGCTTCGCAGCCTTTCTGACCCTCCGCAATCCCGAGATCAACCTGGAGCCCGCGAGCGGTCATGCGGCAAAGAGGTTCTACTGTAAACGCCCGGGAGGAGCACAGGGTTTCTGTCGGAGAATTAAAAAAGGGTGGACCACCAAGAAAATGCCTCCAACTGGCGAGCAGCATGGCAGGCGAAGTGATTGCCGTAACTCCTTAGGATGGCTCGGAATTCAGAAGATGATCTGAGATTTTGTGGAGCCTTTACTAAGAACCAGTGAGCCTTCCCTTCATTGGCAATTAGGTTCTACACTGGCGGAACTCGACCCCCGGGGTTCGCATTGGGATTTCTCAGACACTCAAGCCCAGAGTAGCTTTGAGGTCAATTCGAAGGACAAGCCGGATACTAGCTGAAATTAGGCTCAAGTCAAGATGGGTTGGTGTGAGCTCGTGATGCTGGTCGGGACAGGCCGTGTAATGCCTGAACCAATCCATGACGTTTCATCCAGCACTTTCCGCAGACTGGTGCACCAATGGCTCTGCAATGCTCTCAAGGCAAGCGACCAGCCCACGAGCAACAGCTCCAACGAGGGCGCCAGGGCAGCGCACCTCAGAAAGCGTCTCCCTCCAGATCTCTCTCGGAGACTCGCAGGACCGAGGCGATGCCGCGAGGCCTGGCCTCCGCAGCAGCTGCGTGAGCCAGGGAGTGGAGACCAAGTTCTGGGCGACGGAGAGCAAAGCCTGCACCCTCGGACCACAGGAGCTCTGCTACGAAATCCCCCAAGGAATTCTTGCGGGGCTTCAGAACCGCGTTTGGCACCGCTTGGCGGAGACAGCAGCAGTACTCGCTTTAGCGGTCCCTAAGACTCTTCGGGAAGATGTCGGGGTGCGCTAGATCAGGAGGTCTGGAAGTGCTCTAGAAACTCAACCGTGCATCTCTGCTCTACGGTGCTTGTCAATCACTCTCTCCTGGCCGCTTTTTGTGCTGAAACTTTTACGTCCATCTAGGCCCTTGCTGTTGTATCATCATCTCTGTTCCTGTTATTGCGTGATGCTGCCGACGTTGCTGTTGGCTTCAGTGGTTGGTAGTATAGCTGCTTCCGACGTTCCACCTCCGCAGTCATCCCTGCACACAACAATCGAACCACCCGACAGAACTAAGTCCCAGCCATGGGGCCGTAGCTCGTCCACCGGATCGATGCTCCAGACTTCATGTGCCGCCAACACCCTGGGAAGGCTTAGGGGGCTGGACAAAAACCGCAATCACTTGCGCGGACCTGGACTGCCTGGGAATGACGGTTCAAACCATCGACTTTTTCGTGCAGGATAGGCTTGCCTCTTGAGGTCAGACTGCACCGCAGAAACCATGTTGCTCTTGGCCGACTGAAACATCGCAGGATTGATGATGACTCAACAACAGCAACAGTACTGGCTGCAGCAACCAGAGAGGTGTAGCTGCACACCAGCAGCACTGAAGATGGTATATGTTGTGAGGCAGCAGCGGCAGTCGATAGCACGAGTGGATTATCGCTGGCACTGTTGCTGATTCCGCTGCTACTACTGCTACTGCTGTGTTGCAACTCCCAAAGATTTCTTCTTCGACGTCACGGACTTACACATCGAGCGGTGGGAAGTCTTGCATTGGGAAGTCTTGGTTAGAAGTGTGCCGGGGTATGCAACAGCCCGCAAAATGCCAAAGGATAGGAACCCAATAAACGTGGTTCGACTGTAGTGCTTGCCATGTCTCTACTGGTGCTACTGAGTTGCGACCTGAATCTATAAGTCTTCGTGTGGCGCTTCTGAGCCCTGAGCTGTGCCAACACATGGAACCCGGCGTGCTGCACGTTCATGCGCGTCGAACCGGCGATGCCACAAATCATCAGCCTGCGGGGTTTAGGAGTTTAGGGCCGTCTCTCGCTATTTCCGGCAAATCAAGCCATGAAGTCGCTCCGGCTCCTGCGAGGTGAGGCTTCCTAGTGACGCAGACTCTTCCGACTACTATCGACTGCTCAGAAACGGACCACAACGCAGCGCAACTCCTCTACTACACCCAGTGAGGCGATGCAGCAACTCTGAACACACTACACCAGCACACCCCGCACACCCCGCAGGCCGCTTCCCTTGCGGTGGCCTGGGGGCGATGCGAGCGCAGCGGCAGCAGGCAGTTCTAGCCATGGCACGAGCACGAAGTCAGCGACCCGAAGTCATCTCCAGCTTTGACTGCATGCGCAGCCGAAGGTGGGAGCCCGCAAGTCGCCACGTCGCCAGAAAGAAGTCCCGACGTTGGCTGGGCCTGGGTGAACGGAGGCATCCGCCCTCATGTGCAAAGGCGTCGACGCCTCATGCTCCGCACGAAGGCTGTCGAGGCAGGAGGCTTGCGCTTTTCAGCGGAAGCTCAGAAGTTTGCTACTGAAGAGCGAACCGTCGGCACACTCCGGCACCTCGCAGCGGAGGGCCCACCGAGTCGAGGCGGCTCTCAAAGGCCGTTGCAGGTGGCCGGAATCCAAACAAAGTGTGCGCGGTGCGCAGCCTTGAGAAGCCAGGATAAGACCGGCAACTTCGTCGCTCCGCCGGCGTCGCGCAAATTCCTATCATCCTGCGTCTTCATTGCATGCATGCTCTTATGACCCGATCTGCGTTGTAAACACGACCCGACGTCTCCAAGTCCCCTGCGCTTGCCCGGGGACCCTTTCTTACCTACAGTAGAGCAGCTGTCTACATGTAACTTGAACGAGATCGACAAAAAGACTTGACCAGCGTATTTGGAGCGAGACTACAATGCTCAGATTTTTCTTAAGATTGTTCAACGAGCTACTTGGGGGCACAACTTTCGGCACACGCCTGTTAGACATAAGGGATACGAAGGAGCTGACGCCGATGCTCGTGGCGTCATGCATGCTTTGCAAACACGTGGCGTCTACCCGTGCCTTGCAGTATCATCATTGCATCAATGTCACGCAGTCCTTCGACTTTTGCAGACGAATGCCAGTGGCATGGTGGACGAGTCGCCCATGCTTGGGTCACA